CCCCTGAGGGTGTTGAAGGTAAATTGGTACCTCTTGAACCTCTAAAAGGGCCTTTTATAGGGATATTATATAACCAAATGTGTGCTTGTGGGATACAGGGGAAAAGATTTCAGGGCTCGGAGATGTCCTGTAATGCCAGCATCACAGCCAACATTTCCTTGTATTGGGTAGAACCTTGGCAGGGTTGAAATCTTTGGTGGCTTGGTGTCCTCTAAAGGTAACATAGGCAGAGACTGCTTGGTCCCCATCAGTGAAGATGCAAATGGCTTCCCGGATGGGCTCAGATGGAAACAAGGAAGGCATCTTAAAGGGGAGTATCTGTAAAGGAGGAGCCCATTTGGATGGCCATAGTGGCAATCAGTACTCCCCATAAATCCTTCTAAGGCGAGAGCAAGCATTAGCCCGAGCAAGCCATTCAACATCCCCCACCTGGAAGGGGAAGACAATGGTATTGGTGTCTGGCCCATAGTGTTGCTGATCTGCCTGACCCAGGGTATTCCTCCGAGATGTATGGATCTATTCTAACTGCTCCCATCCCGGGCTAGAACCACTGTAATCAGGCAGGCTCCAGCAAACAGCCAGAGGTACCAGGGCCTAGTCTCCAACCCCCCCCCCCAGAGAGCATTTATCCAAGGCCTTCTGAAAGACAAGGAGCATCTCATGGTGCTCATTTGTCATGGTTATATTATCACGAGGTGCCTTGTCCTTTAGCAGGCCGTACAGGGATATCAGGTCTTCTGTGGGGATTGACACCTAGGTCTCAGCCAATTAATCTCCCCCAGTAAGCACTGGAGCTGGGTCAGGGTCATACATTGAGGCACCTCCAGAACAGGCTTAAGCGGGCTAGCCTGTGTTAGTGTGAAGGGGGGGCACCTTTTGGACCTTTTCTGGGGCAACAGTAAAGCTCCCTTTTTTTTTTTTTTTAAAGCAATTGGAGCACCTGTGTCACAAAGCCCTCCAGATATGCTGGATCCTGATGTCCCAAAATTAAAATCATCCATATAAGCATATATTATTGAAGCCTTTGACTTTAGCATAGGCCTTAAGAGAGTAGCAAGATATTGTTGACAGAAAGCCAGGCTATTAGCCATCCCCTGTGGTAGCATTACCCATTCAAAATGTTGATCAGGTTTGGAATAATTAAGTGAAGGAACAGAGAAGGCAAATTTATCACAATCCTTTGGATGTAGGGGTATAGAGAGAAGCAATCCTTAATATCAATTACCATAAATATATATTCTGTGGGAATAGCAGGAGTCCAGGGCATGCCCCTTAAGGGGGTGTTCACTAGTTCCATCCTTTCATTTACCTTGTGCAAATCTTGGAGCATACACCAAGCCCCGGACACCTCTTGAATTACAAACACTGGGGTGTTCATGGGCTCATAGAAGGGCAGATATGTCCAAGCCTCAATTGTTCATCCACTAGCTGATGGAGTGCTAGCAGCTTAGGTTTAGTCAGCGGCCATTGCTCTACCCATACTGGTTTTTCTCGGTGCCCGTCTGATAGGCGGCACTCAGGGAGCAGTGGCCCTTATGATTGGGGGTACACCCGGATAGACCTCTCAGGCTCCGCCCTGTAGTTGTGGACTTTGAAAAAATCCTTCTCTGTGACCCCCTTTAGGTCCTTTCCCACCCTTTGTGCCTCTTTCTCTTCCAGGATATCCTCATAAAAAGCTCAATGATCTGTGGTCATAACATTGTCCATTTGGTCTAACTTGTCCTGTCCTAGCAAACTGGCAGTAAGGCTTTTAACCACTAAGGGGCCTATCTTTCCTTGGTCCCCATCTGGATTGGTCCAGTGCTTAAAGTCACTGTTTCTCTTGATTGGGAGTTACCTCCCACCCACAAAATGGAGGGTCCAGGTGCAAGCTCCCAGGTGGAAGGTACTTCCTCCTCCTGGAGTACTGTCCTGCCTGCCCCTGTGTCTACCAAACAGTGAAACTTCTTACTGCCTATAAAAACAGTCATTTTTGGACGAAGTCCTTCAATCAAGGGGACAGTCCAGTAGGTTTGTGTTTTTGTATTGTATGAGACCTTCCAATCCTACCTTTAGAGAGGCTTCCTCCTTTTTTTTTTTTAACAGAGCTGGAGGCTGCCCCTCCTCTAGTTTAAAGTCTTCTCCTCCAGGTCAAATTTTGATCTACAGTCCTTCTTCCAATGGCATCCCTTCCTGCACTGAGGGCATGTGGTGGAGGGGGGCTTAGCCCCTCCTGGCCTTTTAGTGAGGGGGGGTGTTGAGGACAGTCTCTTTTAAAATGTCCCTCCTGCCGGCATCTAAAGCATGTCCCTTTCCCCAGTGGCTTTGAGGACCCTTAACCCTGGGTTGCCAGGGCCTGGGTGATGGCCTCCATTCTGGCAGTCATTTGTACCTGTAAGGCCAGGGCCAGAGACTGGGATTGGTGTTGTTGGGTACCTACATCTTGGGAGGCTACCACCCATCTGCTCAGGGAACTGTCTTTTAATCCTGCACAGGCCAGTCTATGGTCCCCATTCATCCCTTTGAAGGGACCAGCTCCCCATTTCAGCAGTCATAATAGCTTGTCTGACCTTGTCTTAGTCACTAAGGTCAGATGCCTGCCCCTGTTGGCAGTCATAACAGCTGAACACATGCTTGTTTGCCTTTGCTTAGTCACTAGAAAGTCAGATCCCTGCCTCATGGCAAGGAACCCATCAGAAGTTAGCTGGTAGTGCTATGCTTTACGGCACTGTGTGTGCTTTACGGACAAGTGCACAGCAATGACGCACAGAGCATAGCAACCACCCTGGGAGGGCCTATGGGCCATAACAACCAGTTGGCCAATCAACACAGGGCAAGCCCTCCAAGCCTGGAGGCACACCAATCCTGAGCCTGTGCATACCCCTAGACACTCCCCTTATGCTATCCTACAAGATCGCTTGACAGCCGGTTCGAGGTGTCTTTGCTAGCCATCCGCCATGGCTGGTGGGTGAAAGACCTGAGCTAACATGGGGTTAGCTCATTAAAAAACAATTAACGCCTCATGCAGTTTGCATCAAGCTCTCGAATCTGCCTGGTGATTGGGGTGACCACGGTCGTGGCCTGGGACCCCAGATACCTGAGATTTTTCCGGGGGGTCTAACATCTTCCCATATCAACAGTCTGATAAATTGTTCTCTGAATTCTCCGGGCTGCAGCTTACACCAAATGCTCTATGGGACCCAGTCTATAAACTCTGGCAAAGGCTTGCCCGGCTTCTGCCTCACCCCAGCTGTGGGAGACTCAGTAGGCCCATCATCCAGTTTAGCCCAGGCATTCAACCCAGCCTGCCTTACCTGATTCTGATACGGCCCAGGGATCCCTGCTTGCTGAACTCCAGTGAAGTAACCGTCTCCCATTCCTGACAATATAGCATAGGTAATAGGGATGGCGGGGTTAGCTTGTCTATTTGCCTCAGCTTGTACCCTACATTTTTCCTTATAAAAGGCACACCATTTGATAAACTGAGAACTAGGGAGGACTGTCTTAGCCACATCCAGCCAGTTCTTAGGGACACACAGATGATAGGTGATGTCCTGCAACAGGGTCTGTGCCCAAGGAGAATTAGGGCCATCTTCTGCCACGGCCTTTCGGAGCTCTTTAAGGTCCTTGACCTCCCAAGGATACCAGTATAGAGGCCTGCCTGGCCCTGAGGCCAAGTTTACGGGGTAGACTTGGGGAGCCCTCCTTGCATCCTCCCATCCATCCTTGATTGGGTAGACCTCTGCATAAACCAGACCTCCAGGTCTTGACCTGCCGTTGTCCCGTCCAGGTCCCGTGGATTTTCCCAGAGGACAGTATAAGGGGACCCAACCTCCTTGATCCTGGGAGCATAAAGCTGGGGTCTGGAGTTATCTGGGGCGGATGGTTTGGCCCATTCCTCCTCTGCCTCATCTTTGGCCGACTTCTCCAGTCCTTCTCCTCCCTTCTTACTGAAAATGGGTTGCCCATACTGAGGGTCTCACTTACCTTGAGAAACTGTTTGCCCTAAGCTGAGATTTAAGTCCTTCAGGCCCCAGGTTCGGGTGCCGGATGCAGGGTCGTAGCCCAACCATGGAAGGTTGAGCTGAGTCCGAGGAAAGATAAGTACCCTTCTCAACCATTCCCAGCCTCCAGGACACAACCAGATGCAACAGGGAGTCTAGTCAAGCAGGAACTCATTTACTGTCCCACAGTAAGCATCTTTTAAAGGAAAAAACCACAGAGTGGGGGAGGAGTGAGAAACAGCCAGCCGATGATTTTATCGTGCACCTAGGTGCCTAGGCTTTACCTAGTGAACAGGAGCTGTTCATGCAATGACCTCATCTGGTTCCACCTAGGCAACCAATCATCTTTCTTTGTAAATAACTCAGGACTCGCCATCTGACTTCCCCTCAGCACCATCTTTGACTGGCTCATGTGCTCTGCAGTCAGGACAGGCACCTTTTACAGGAAGGTGGCAGTGCCTGAGCAGACCCATGTCCTCAGGGCCCTAATCAGTCTTCTCTGCTCCTGGAGGAGGAGGAGGTGTGAAGAGCTTTGGCTGCAGGGCTGTTAGTTCCCAGTGTCCCAGCTGTACCTGTGACTCTGCAGGCATGTTTGATGGGAATGCCAACATGTGTCCATGTTTCTGCCTGTGATTCCTAGAGTGGGGGAGCAAAGGTGACAGCTTGGTCATGAGGGCAAGAGGGAGTACACCATCACATTGTTTGCTCCTTTTCCTTCCTTCCTTCTTGAGACAGGGTCTCATGGTGTAGCTCTTGCTGTCCTGGTACTCGCTCTGTAGACCAGGCTGGCCTCAAACTCACAGAGATCCGCCTGCCTCTGCCTCCCGAGTGCTAGGATTAAAGATAGTAAGTAGTCACCGTTGTGCTGTGTCCACAACCTTTTGTGATTTAGTTGACACCTTCCCCATTAGTCACACATGCACATGACCATAGGAGCAACACCTTCTAACCAGCCCACACGCTGCTGTGTGTGGCCTCCAGATCTCTCTTGGAACCAAGGGTGTTCTTCTTTTCCAGATACACATCAGGGGACGTGAGGGTGTGGGACACCCGCACCTGGGACTATGTGGCCCCCTTCCTGGAATCTGAGTCTGAGGAGGAGGAGCCTGGAATGCAGCCATATGTCTCTTTTGTGAGGATCAACAGCTCGCTGGCTGTGGCGGCTTACGAGGATGGTGAGTACCCCAGTACCCTAGCCTCCCCCTTCCCCTCCCTGTGCAGAAGAAAGCTTCAGCAACTGCAGCAGCTGCAGCTACTCCCATCTCCTCTGTGCACACACATGCTCCCTGCCTCCTACATATAGGCATAGACACATTCACACACACCCTGCCTCTTCCCTGGGAATATGAGCACATACACATCCACGCACTGTCTTCTGTCTTTATGTGAAGAAGCTAGCCAACAACCCTGGTCCATTAGTAGGCATTGGACATGGTACACATTAAAACTGCTGTTTAATTCATCCTGGAACCATGGAGCTGGGCACCAGTGCCAGGGATGATGAGGCTGGCCAGACCATCTTAAGCAAATGGTGTGTTTAGTTTAAAATATTAAATATACTTGGCCTCCTTTTCCTGTATCCTCAGCTCAGGCTAAAAAGAATAGAGACAAGGATGGAGAGGTGATCTAACATGGGCAGGCAGAAAACCGACCGTCAGCGCCTGCCTTCGCTTGGCACTCAGCCAAGCGGTTCTTGGTGTGTTGTCTCTGGCCTGGAGAGAATCCTGAGTGTGTGTGAGCAACTGTGGCTTTACAGAACTGTTACTGGAATGATGGGACATGTGACATTGTTAGCTGATAGAAGTGATCACATTGCTGGCCATGGCAGCCTGCCTGCCTACTGCTCACAGCCCTGATGTCCATTGTGTTGGAAAGTCTGCAGCTCCAAGTTGCCGCCCCACCCCCAGCCTGGAAGTTGCACTACAGCACATTTCGGGGACTCAGTGTTCATGCCAGGGCTGTGCAGATCTTCAGTCAGCGTGGTGTCATTTGGCACAGAGGGGTGGAGCTACAGTAGCCATTAGTGAGTTTCATAAATGTCTAATAATCAGAGTTGAAAATTCAAAGCTAAAAAGAGTAAATACAGGAATTTAAAAGTTGATCAGAACTTTGTACTTTATTCTTCTGGTTTAATGTTAGTAGACACCACAAATGGACATTAGTTAGCTGAGTTGAGACTGGGAGTGTGCCTCAGCATTGTGCTTGCCTGCCATACATGAGGCTCTAGGTTCAACTACAGCTTCCTCAAAACTGTAGCAGCAACAGCAACAGCTGTGAACAGTGTAGCTGCAGACTGAGCTGATCCAGGTGAGCAGTGTAGCTGCAGGTAAAATGATCTCATGTGAGCAATGTAACTGCAGACTGAGCATGCTTGCTGCTTAGTCTGCAGCTGGACTGGCAGCTTTGGAATGTCCTTCCTGTCCTGCACTCTTGAATGACACAGACTCTTTTACTACTGGGGAAACTGAAGGTGTTGAAACCACAGTTGCTGTCCTCCCAGCTCCACTGTTGGCTGGAGCGGTATTACTGACAGCAAACATAGAGACTCTTGAGTGAGCACTGGGCTTTCATATCTAACGAACTGGCCAATAGAGCTTGAAGGGAAAATAAAGTGTGGTGCAAGTTGGGTGTGCAGACAGACATACAGACGCACAGTGACTGTACACAGATGTGCATGCATGCAGACACAGAGAGCCTGGTGCATGCTAAGCAGTACTTCTCTACTGAACTGCACTTGGTGTTGACAAGAACATCTTTGGCCCATTGTCACTGAAATATGTGAGCACCCAGGCATGATAGAGAACTTCTTTTATAGTAAATACTATTTCTAATCATATGTCAAATATTTTGCTTAAAAACATTAATTCATCCAGGAGTAGTGGACATCTTTACTACTAGTATTTGGGAGATACAGGCAGATGAAGCTTTGAGTTTGAGGCCAGCCTGGTCTACTTAGTGAGCTCCAGACCATCTGGGCTACATGTTGAGGACCTGTCTCAAAAAAAAAAAAAAAAAAAAAAAAAAAGTTCAAACAACAAAGTTTTTAAAAAGGTAAAAGAAGCTACTCAAATTGTTCTGCAACTTCTGGGCCCTTTCGTCTTCCTAGGCCAACTTTGCCCACTTCAGTGTGCCTTGTTGTTTTTAACCTAATGACACACCGTGGTGATCTATCTCTTCTGTGTTACTCCTTCCTCTTCTCAGTGTTGTGCCGTGCTGTGTCACACCACAGCTGTTGAGCCCTTATTGCTGTATATCTGAGCTACTTGCTCTTGTTAAATGCAGTGACCTTGAATTTGTACATATGTAAACCCAGAGCACAGCATTGGCCGGTTGCTGGGCTGAAGGTCGTGGTGCTTGGTGTTTGGGTAAATAACTGCTCAATTGTCTGTAGAAGTGTTCCATCAGGTGTTAGTCTTTTGTTGTTATCTAAATTTTATGTGTATGGGTGTTTTGCCTACATGTATGTCCCTGTGCACCACCTGTGTGTAGTGCCCATGGAAGCAAGAAGAGAGGACATTGAATCCCCTGGAACTGGAGTTACCTACAGTTGTGAGCTGCCATGTGGCTGCTGGGAATCAAATCAGGGTCTATGGAAAAGCAGCCAGTACTCTAACCACCGAGCCATCTCTCCAGCTACCACTCCTTGTCTTTTTTGATGTAGTACCATATCCTAAATCCTCATTTTTCACACCTATGTAGTCTTCCTTTTTGTATTACCTGGTGGCTCACTAACAAGCAGGTGTGTCTGCACATGCTCTCACAAGCAGTGTTGTAGTGAAAGGCTTTGTATAATGTCCTTTCACATGTGCAGGGACATAGTTTCCTATAAGAAGAGTTTTCAGGTAGGAGGGTGAGTATAGATGTCACACTGTCTTTTCTTCCCGAAGGTGGGAGCTGTCCCTCCTCTCAGTTTGGGGTATTGATGGATTTGGTAGGGAATGGTACCGATGACTATGGTTGTAGTTCTCCCAATGGGAAGGGTTGGACTGTTTCTTACACATACCTGCTGCTTGTAGTCCTTCTGTTTCCTTTGTGGTTATGTTTATATTTAAATCCTAGCCAATACTAAATCCATTCTAGATCAGTAGGATGTACAGACCTGAGAGTGGTGGTTGCTAGCACTATGGGACAGGCTGCCACATCCCACAGGTCTGGGCTTTTGGATAGGAGCGGTCTGTGCTTGGTCTGCTCTGGGGCCACTGTTAACTAGTCTGGTTACATCTTGTGCTTTTGGGTCTCAAGTCATGCTGGCGAGCAGTCACTTCTCTGTCCTTCCAGAGTTCAGGATTTGCCTCAGAGCTTTGACTTTGTCTACTTCAGTGTGAAGAGCATTCCTCCTGTAGGAACTCATCTCCCACACTAGCAGGGTTTACCAGTTGAATCAGGTTGTTGGGATTTCTATGGTAGATGGCAGCTTCCGGCCTTTTCCCGATCCCGGGTGGCCTTACCCTCAGTCTCACTTGGGTGACATATTGACATATTCCTGAATTGCTGACTCAGCTGACAGGTCAAACACACATTCTCCTTGTTCCTTCCAAGAGCAGTGGCTGGTGCTTCTTGGGCAAAAACACTAGAAAAGGACCTTGTGGGGTCTGCTGGGTGCAGTTTTGGGGAGTTAATGAACTCTAGCCCTCTTGCTGTACCTAAGCGAAGTTCTGAGCCATTGAGACCCAGACCCCTTGTTGCAGCTGCCACCCTCTCTGTAGCAGGAGCCTCCCTGCAGAGACCTCAGTGGGAGACAGCCCTTCAGCACCCTTTCCTGAGCTGTGCCCTGAGGAGCCCTGCACATGCACCTGGGAGCAGGGATTTGGCAAGGCCATCCACAGTTGTGATTTTTTGAATTCCAACCCACTGACCTCATATTTCTTGTGCCTCGTTTCCAATTGTCAGCACTGGCCACCCTCCAGTTTGATTTTACCACTAATTGTGCTGCACGTTACCATCCCGAAATGAATCAAATCAAAATGCTTTTCCTGGAGCATTAGATAAAGCAAGTGAAGGTTCTGAGTAATGAGCAGACGCTGCTAATGCAGGGACAGCGGGGACCTTGCCAGGACGCCATCTGCTCCATGCCTGCCTGCCTGACTTTGGCCTCAAGCCACGACATTAGGAGATGGAAGTGCACTGGGACCCATGCCCCACCCGAGTTTCCCCTCAAAACCCACTCTTTGGTGAGAAGTGAGATTAGATACTTGTTCTGTGAGAAAAAAGTTCCTGTCTACCAAGCCTGGCGGGGGGGGGGGGGGGGGGGGGGATGGGGGTGGGGAGGGGGGGGGGGGGGGGGGAGGAGGGGTGGGAGTGAGGAGAGGAAGAGGGAGAAAGGATTGTTACGTGAAACAAGCTTGTTCCTAATTTGAACTAATAAAAAAAAAGAACACGGGTGAGGAGCACCTAATCAAAGGTGCTCCACTGAAGAAAACACTTCTCCATCCCAGCAGTCATTACCTGCCTGTAAATGTTCATGGAGGGAGGAGCATTATGAGCACCTCCCCCTGGCAACCGCTAACTGCCTATCAATCCTCAGGGAGGGAGGGGCATTGTGAGTCCTAGCAACTATTAACTGCCTCCTCCTACAGGGATGGGGCCTCTTGAGCCTTCCTTGCTCTACCACTTCCAACTGTAACCTGAGGTCCATTACCTGGCCATGCTGCCACTCA